CTTCTGGTCAAGGTATGAGTCGTACCCCAACAGGCAGCCCCCAATCCTCTTCCCCCCCTTCCCACGGGATGCAGTGGTAGCATGACACAGGTGAGATGAATTCGTCGATCTGCTGCATTGGTTTGTAGCTGCAAGATTTGTTTAGGGGAGAAGAAATGCAGTTTCTTGTCACGTTTTGCTGTGCATCGATGGAAATCAGCTCTATAGATGCAACAGTCCCGGTGCATGCACTTTCCTTATCGATTTTCTGATGAGATTGTGATTGACTAGCTAAAGAAATTACTACCTGGGATGATATTTGTTTCCTTCCATAAAGCTAATGCTAAAGCAATTATTTTTCTTCTGTAACACTTTAAAGCACTTCCTTGCATAATATTGAACCTGAAGCTTGTAGTTCTACACTTCTACTGATATATTGTATATCGACTGCCTCAAGGGAGCATAATAATTGCTTCCCATTTCTTATTTTCTGCTAAGCTTCATTACGTAGTTGTTTGCTAAATGATGCCCGTGATTGACTGAATATTGTTTGGAATTTCACAATCATAATTAATCTTTGATCTAACCATCTCAATTGATTCAGATGTGCATTCTGTGTTCTGCCAAAAAAAATTACATGCTAATCTGTGAAAAATATTATGCTATTAGTGGATCCTTTTAATTTAGGATCTATTCTCCTACTCTCTGAATATTGTTTCCCTAAGCTCCATTTTATCTTCAGTTACCTCAACTTGTACAATGTTAAGTGAGTTATCAAAACGGTGAATTACTGTATTTTGTAGAATGTTGGTTAACACTTAACTTGACTATTCTTCATTTTGAAACATTAGCCGGCAACCTCTCCGACATGCTGCTCATGACCACCTCCCCAACCAGATGCTGTTGGTAAGCTCTCTCTTCTTCCCTATCTATTTGCTAATCACACATTTATGCAAGATGGAAAGCCATCTATTTAACTAAATTTTGCTGAAAATGTTTCTTTTTATCCTGTTGGATGTGTAGGCAGTAGAGGAAGTATGGATGGTAATTTTGTTTCACTCAATAAAATCCTTCTGTGTGCTAATTATGCATTGGCAGTAGGCAGTAGACTTAGCCATTTGTCGTATTTCATTTTGCGTTGACCATTTTTAACCCGATAAATCAGAATTCAGGCTTATCATCATTTCTATAATGTAATATCCATGGTCATTGTCCCATTGTCCCACTAGACTTAGCATTATCTATAAGCAGCTCATTTGGCAACAACGGTATTGGTTAGTTATAAGAATTCATACTGATCATGAAGAATATGCCGCATGATACTTGAAGCAATACTGCCTGGTTTTGGAGATTTGATCTGCCAATGCTGCTACTACTCTTTTGCAGGTTCTTCTAGTCGGTGGTTTCGAGGACGAGATGCCTGTGAGGAGCAAGGAGCAAGGATTTGAGATGGCTCGCTTCTAGTCTCATGTATAAGAATATGCCCTATTTTGACTTTGTGGCTTTATTGCTTTTGTAATATATTGTAAACATTGTATTTGTATTAAAGCAATAAAAATTAGTTTAGGATTTTTAAAAAATAGTTTTGTAATATATTTGTAAACATTGTATATTTGTATTAAAGGAAGAGTAGAAGCATGACCTGTTTGCAAGCCCTAACTTTTTTTGTATACACAGGTGGTGCTGGCGTCTCTAGTGCCGCCGTTCGGCGCTGTGGTGCCCACCGTGGCTAGTGTCATCTGCTGGTGCAACAGAGGGTTCCGCCATGGATGGTACTATGGTGCTACGCCTTCACTGCCTCGCCTCTTCACTGCATCGACGCTCCTTCTGCATCGAGATCTCCAGGTAATCCTCCTTCTTCTCTCTCTGCTCTGCTTCTGCATTCTGTACTGAACTGTCACTAGCCTAGGGTTCAAGCTCTGAATTTTTAGATGTTTAGATCGATTCAGTAGTTGCTTAGGTATATAGGAATCTATGTAGTGCTTACGATGTCCTAGTTGCAGTAGAACATGTGTAGGTGTTTTACTGAATTTTACTTCTGATTCAAGGTTTCGTGAGTGGCTGAGATACATGTTGAGAGAACATGGAGGTCCCTTATTGGATGCTTTCAGATCAAAATACTCTAAAAGGTATCGCGGCTTCTGTTTTTTACCTGCTACTCTTATTCTTCTGATAATTTTGCAACTTTGTTATAGCTTATTACTCCACGTCCTCAGAACCAACAATGTAAGTACATATTTTACTATTGGTTAAACAATGTCCTTAGAACTTTGCACGTATCAGTGTTGGTTTCCATCTTTGAACAACTAAAAGAAGTTAGTAATTTGCTGATGTGGTAGGCTGTGAGGGCAGGAAAAATGTTCAGTGGGGATTGACTTTATAGTTATATATGATTATTACAACTATAGTGTACTTCATGATAATCACATGCTAACGATATACCGTATGCTTCATTCATTTGTTTTGTGCAGGGAGGGAGCTTATACTTGCTTTAATCAAACCGTTGGACCTGAAGAATTCAGTTATGGTTCTAGAATAGATTACATTCTCATTTCAAAACGCACACACTGTCGAGATGAGGACCCTATGGCACAGCGAGCCGCACTGGACGGTGGCGCAATGCATGAGGTACATAACTTAAACTCCTTCATCGTCACATCAATCAAAACGTTTATGTCACTAAATAGTTAATTTCTTAGGAATAGAGCACCTTGGGCTAAACTGTAACAAAGTTTAGAATATTAAAGTTTAGATTATTAACCTTAACTTTCATTTATCAAAGATCTGCACACTTTGTTTTGGAACCACACACCTAGGCTCGTCTAATGTGATCGGATCTGGCGAGTTTCCTTTTCATGCATCACCTGTTACTCTTTTCGGTAAATTATGTTAGTAGTAATCTTGATTAACTAGTTGCATGTGTGTTGTTAGCAGGATTAGCGTGGCCGTAGCTTAGGTCAAGCATGTACCTTATGTTTTATCTCATGTAAAAAGCTTAGGACTGTGTTTACTGAATAATTAAGTTCTTCTGACAGGGAACTATGCATCCTGAATGGCATAGGCTATTGGCTTCATGAAATGAGCCATGTCTATGATTCAAGGTATCTTAGATCTTCGATGTCAGATGCAAATAATTGCTCAATTTCACTTCTCTGCAATGTTCATTCTCACATATTTCTATCATTCTTTGCAGGGATAAAGTAAAGAAAAAGAAGAAAAGATTACTCAAAGATTAGTTTTAGAATTTTCATTATTTCCTTGTGATTTTTTTATTTGATACTTGTAAAGACATTGTAATATTCTTACTATAATAAAAATTATGATTATATTTCATTTTTTGTTTTTAAATTATTTTTCCTTATAGGTTGTTTTCTGTAAATTTGGATTTTTTTTTGTTTTCCAAATACATTACTAGTGGCGCATTTCAGGCCTTATTAGTGCGCACCTTCCTTTATTACTAGTGGCGCACCTATAAGGCTATTAATGGCGCACCTAGAGGGAATACCAGTGGAGCACCTAAGGGTTAGTAGTGGCGCACCAGAGGTGCGCCATTACTATCTGGATTACTAATGGCGCACCAGAGGTGCGCCATTACTATATGTTACTAGTGGCGTGTTAATAGTGGCGCACCTACAGTGCGCCATTACTAACGAAAACAGGTGCGCCACTAATAGGGCTTTTTCTAGTAGTGATCCCCCGAGCAGGGGTCTGGCCTCAGTAGAGATATGGATGACATTTGCATTTTCTTAAGCCCTTTTAAGGCATTTGTTTTCTTTACCAGTCTAAAGGATATTTGCATTCGTTGTATGAGTTTTGGTCGTATGAACCTTGTATTGTGTTCATTCATCAACTTTGATTCTTCGGAGATTGTTGTATATACATGTTGTTGCGTATCTGTATTGAAGACCGTTCACACACATCGTGTACACGTTGCCACGTGTACGTTGTGTGGAGGTGGCGTCTAGAAGTCAATACTATACATGTGGATGCTAGCGGAGGTACTAGATCCGTACTGTGTGGCTGTGCAAAAGTTAAAGTTTACGGGTAATTTGAAGTAAGAGCATTGATAATGAACACTTACTAGATGACGTAGGGTGCCACCAAAGAGCGTTGATATAAACACGGCATGCATTGGACGAATTGTGCACGAGCGTACTGATCCAACCGTACGTGAGTTGGACAAAGTGCAGGCCGTCCGCTTGATCAAGCATCGTGCAGTGTTCGGCTACCATCTATGCCAAAGGATTGCTTCCTTCAAACCTAACTGTCCAAGGACAGGTGATTTCTTGAGAGGCTCCGGAATGTATCAACAAGGATCACTGAACCTGACATGCCCGCAGACAAACATGGCGTGATCACATTAAGAATTTCCATAGCTTTCCATACCTTGTGAGATTGCTAACAACAGATGCCGGATGTCCTCAGCTGCCGCCTGGCACACTGGACATTAACTTAGAAATAGAAGTTATTACTTTTAACTTGGTCGTTCAAAAAATTATACTTCATCCGATCCATATTACTTGTCGCTCGGAGGGAGTAAAACCATGAAAGTTCTATCTCTTGGGCAGGGGGTTTGCACATACGCGCCTTTGGTGGTATGATGACTATATGAGACTTAAAAAAAACTTGAATTTATTGTAGTATTGCCTCCATTTATACTGCACCGATCCCTCGAACCAAAGTTGGCTTGTTGTTTGCACGTTCCTTGATGTTTACAAAATGCTGATAAAGAAAGACTATGTCTTCATCTGCATCTGCATGTCTGTCTGCCAGTTGTCCAAGAACCTGTATCCAGTACGTATGTCCTTTACAGAACAGCCGAATTGCATTTTGTCTGCAGGGGATCGATGCTGTGTGGCATGCGCAAGGAAGAATAACTGGCATGTTAGAGTGAAGCCAACTACTCTCTCCCTTTCTCTCTCTGTATATATCAGATATTGCCATTCGATTGCGACTACCAACTGTACCGAACTCTTCATACGGTATTGCTAAATACTTACATATATAGCTGTTGAGTTGGAATGGCCGGTGTGATGGACATACTCATCAATAGGACCGTCGTAGATGACCTTCCCGTGCCATGTCATCTCAAGCTGTTCATGGCGGCAAGCTATGGCGATATGAAGAAGCTACAAGAGCTTCTGAGCTCGTCCACCTCGTTGGCGAGTGAGGAGGCCGGCGACTCCGCGGCACTGGCGGTTACCAGTGAGGAGAACTCGGCACTCCATGTGGTAGCAACCGACGGGGACAGCCAGAATTACCGTGACTGTGCAAAGGTGATCCACGGCAAGGCCAGGCAGCTGTTGTTCAAGCGCAACAGGCACGGCGACACGCCGCTGCACCGCGCCGCCCGGGCCGGGAACACCGGCATGGTCTCTTACCTGATCGAGCTCGCGGCCGGCGACGGGGTGGCCAAAGACATGGTGAGGCTGCAGAACAACGATGGGAGGACGGCGTTGCATGAAGCGATCGGCTCTGACGACCGAGAAATGGTGGGTGAACTAATGTCAAAAGACAAGGAGCTGGCCCAAGTGAATGCATCTGATGGTACTTCACCACTGTTCCTAGCAATCTCGCTGGGTCATCACAGCATTGCTCGGCAGTTGCACGGGTATGACAAAGACTTGTCCTACTCTGGCAAAAATGGACAAAATGCCTTACATGCTGCCGTTCTTCACAACAATAGTAAGTATATTTTTTTTTTGCGAGGGTAGAAGTATATACTTACATACATGCTCTTAATCATTATTCCCGTTCGTTTCGGAGTACATTGTCATTCTACCTTCTGCAAATAACTTTGCACCATTTTTTTTCCCTTTGTACATGTCATTGACCATCTCGACATAACTTTGCACATTACTTTTCCTTTTGCATACTCTTCTCTTTTGCTGTTTCCAATGCTATTTATTACTCCCTCCTTTCTAAAAGTTAAGAGCAAATATAATAAGGTGTTGTAAGAAGCAGACTATAAGTGTTTAAATATTACATTACTACTGGCGTGAAGGAGAGAGAAGAGAGGCGGATTGTAGATTAAGAGTCTTTTGTAGCACGGGCGCTCGAACAAAGTTTGGGATTGTGGGATGTGTGATGTATTAATAAAGTTACACACATTTATAGCTTAGTAGTATACATGATGATTATTAGATTGGCCATAGATGAAATGGTAATAAACAATAGCCAACGGTTAGATGACATTTCGAACACATGGTATTGACTTACAATATTTACGAAATTTCCAATGCATGGTATTCACTTATAATATGTCTTAAAATTAGAGAAATGGCACATACCATAGAGTTATTTTGCAGCAAATATAACAAAATGATTTTTATATGTCCATTTCGTATTATTTTCATGGATTAGTGCTCAAAGTTATAAAATGTTGACCACACGCGTAATAATGCACTATTTTGGAATGAATGTAATAAGATATTGTGAAATTCATCCATTGCTGCGAGCCTTTGGATCTAGATCAAACCCCAACGGCCTTTTGGCCCATTTCAAAATTGTTCTTAGTTGTGGATTGAACAATGTATAACTCCACTTGCATTTTAGGCCCAAAATATCACACATATATTTTGTGCGACTTTACACAATGTATTGTGCAATTGGATTGACTGAGCAATAAGGGTTTCTCAGTTTCTCATGGGCTGGGAATCAACAATATATTGGAATTATTCTTAATCATATACCTGTAGATATTAATATTGTATTATTGTTATTATATTCTAAAAATTAAATAGAAGGTCTGTATCGTCATCCTTGAATCATGTCTAGTACTGCATGATTTTATATTACTAATGCTTTAAACAATCTGCATTACTTTGTTGACTTTTTTGCATGATAAACATGTGATTTTTAATTACAAAATCATTTATAGATAAAAATATATAGGTCCATGAATCTTTAAGAAATGTATTTATATACTTTTATTTATGTAATTAGGCTTCCTACCAAAAAATGCTTTTATTATGACAACTCGTCTAATATAACTTTTACTGTAAGTGTTATTCTCCTATACTGTATAACTACTATAATAGTAGTAACTAAAGGATAAAATTTAGCATAAATAATTTTAATGGCTCCATGTGATTGCTTCATCCATTTTTAGTCTGAACATTTTTATGGTAATTTCTTAGTAAATCAATTTTGTTTTTAGTAAAAAGTCATAAAAATATATTAAAGGTGAACTTGCTCGAACTTATTTTCAAAAATATTTCAATTATTTTTTAATAAAAGTCATCTGGAAAAGTTTATAACAATGGAAACATAAAAGAGAAGATATTATTTGTTTTATTTCTCGAACATGTTATCATTTTTTAATGATAATGTCTCAAACACGTCAGGCGAAAAGCTTAATTTCTTTTTTTTAAATTTAGGAATTAGCATGTCGATTTGTCAGTACACAAAATGTGAATCAAACAGTAGATGATATATCGGCACACACACGCGCTGCGCGACATCCAAATACACATACCAGTAACGTCTAAACATGAAATCCAAATACAAATATATGTAATGTCTCTATTATATATGATGGTGATGATTATTTATTACTAATATAGTTCTTATAACATTGCATATAGTTCTTATAATATTACAATTATCTTGTCTGTCTATTCTCTATGGAGCTAGCCCAGTTTTCAGTTCAAGAATCGAACACATTTTATTATTCACTTAATGGCAAGGTTGTGAAAACTCATCGCACCCATGTGCATATTTCTGTCATCTTTTATCTTGCTAATACAAATTCGAAGAATCTCACACGTATAAGTATAAAGAGTATATTTAACCAATTTGTATATGTAGCATGCATGGTGAACATAGTTTTGGAAGACCTGTTAGCATATTTTTATGCGGACCATCACGAATATTTGAGATATTGGAAGAAATATATTAATGGCCCATGTCCTTCCAAATTAACACCTTACAAATTTTCAAAACGAATTATCACTTAGCTTTTGACTTTGTCAAAATTTCATTGGTAGATAATTCCACATAATGATAATCAATAATTGTTTGGGATCAAACATTGTTTTTAATTCTCAGGAATTTATATTTTATATGTAGTGCCAGACAATTTAGCGGTTTACTATGCTTGTCATCACCAAATTTGAGCTCGAGGTTTGAACCTAACAATTTGACTGTCACACATCACATTATTAGGAATTAGACGAATCTAGTATATGTATAATTACTATGCCGATCGACAATTGGAAGTTATATTTATTCAATATGTATATGGCGCTATTGTTTAGAAAGACATGTAAACAATTTTTTTTATCCGGGTCATCGGGGAAAAACGGAGAGATTTCCAGAAGTATATGTATATCAACTATTTTAAGTCCTTTTAAATCAACACGCTAAAAAACACGTTTTTTGATAGCCATCTCATCCAATCCATGCATGGATCTCGCCAAGCTAATGAGTCACATGGTGTAGGCCAATAAACGATTCAATTTGCCATGTTTGTTTTTTCTTAGGAACACAGTACAAATGCAGACACGCACAAAAACATACATATAGTGACCCTATAAACACACTCATACACACCCTACCCTTATAGTCACCACTGCTGCCTTGCTATCGTCGGAAACACATTTATGAGACACCAAAACGTCAAACCTTTAGTTTGAACCCTGGTGGGATGGGGGTATCACTGCCCTCATAATCCTCTAACCAGCGGTAGGTTTTTCGTTAATTGCTATTAAAATTAGGGATTGCCTATGTGGATACACCATGTGGCTTGTTTGCCTTATATATGTTGGTACTTATACAAGTATACGATTATAACTTCTTTAGAGATGTATTTACTTATGTGATGTTTTAATGTGATAAATAATTAAAATTTCAAAGATATTTTGATGAATGATTATAACAAGTTGAGAAGAGGGATTAAGATCTTCAAACCAAGAAAATATAAACTAAAATTGGGACACAATCTCTTTCAAAGCGTTCGTCGTTGCCATTTAGCTTTAGCAATGTTTAACTCGATTAAGGGCAACTGTAGGAATGGCACGGGAGTTGCTACTCTGGACCAAGGAAAACCAGGAAAAAAGAAAGAAGCTCGTTGAACAGCAGGACGATTGTGGAAGTACGCCAATGCACGTGGCTGCATCAGCAGAAGACCCCTCTTTGGAGTTTTTCCTTTTCGCTTTTGTTGACAAGAGCATGGAAAACAGTTCCTTCAGCCTCTACTATGATATTGCACCATCCAAGTTGTTATACCACTTCTATGCTCGGAGGGAACACCCAATGTGTCTACTGGCGGATGTTGAGCCTTCTTTGGCATTTCAGCCGGACAAAGAGGGGTCGTTTCCGGTGCATGTGGCTGCCTCGGCAGGCAGCTTGGTCCCTATTATCATCTTGCTCTTCCGCCACCCTTCTGCCTGTGCCGCCTGTGCCAGATTGCGTGATGCTGAGGGAAGGACCTTCCTTCATGTTGCTGTTGAGATGAAGAGGCTTAATGTGGTTAGGTTTGTGTGCAACAGGTTATCAGAGTTTAAGTCCGTCATGAATATACAGGACAATAAGGGGAACACTGCTCTGCACCGAGCTGTTGATGGGGGGAACTGGGATATATTCGGAACCCTCATCTGGAACCCCCATGTTGCATTAAATTTAGCAAACAAGGATGGAAAGACCCCCATGGATATTGCGGAGATAAAAGCTCCTTCAGCTTCGGGATTTAATTTTGGAATGGTACGTACGTAAATGCCTGGCCCGTACTGTTCATATTCCATGTATTTTCTTAAAATGTATCCCATATATATTTTGAGGTTCAATAGTTTAACCATGTTTTTTAACTTATTTGGATGCAGCATGCACGGCGTAGGATACTTGGGTCTCTAACCTTTGCAAACGCTCAGAACGGCAACAAACGGCGCGATCTTTGTGCCATAGAACAGGAAAAGACATTTGATGAGACGGTCGAGGACGGGAAAATAACAAGCTTCGCACAGATTGTGGGCATTGGATCTGTGCTGGTGGCGACGGCGTCGTTCACTGCAGCCTTCACCATGCCTGATCCCGGCAACTCGTACTACTACGCTTTCAATGGGTTCGTCCTCTCCAACACACTGGCATTCATCTGCTCCGCTTTAGCCACCTTCAGTCTCATATACACCGGCGTAGCCGCACTCGACATAGAGAAGCGGATAGAGCTAGTATCCTTCTCTCTGGCGCTGCTCATAGGTGCGGGGAGAAGCTTCTGTGCCGCCTTCGCCTTCGCCCTGTATGTGGAGCTTGACCCACTAAATCACAGGGCAGCCATCGTCTCCTGCACCATGACAATTGTTGCGCTGCTCGATGCGGTTTGGTTCATGAGGTCGATATTCACCGATACAGCACTTGCTCTTAGGAGGGGATGGGGCAAGCGGCAAAGCATCGAATGGAGATCAGTGGGCGAGCGATTGGTGAGACTGGCGACTAGATTCCTAGCCAACATTGTCTATCTCTTCTGGCCCTACATCGTAATCTTCGGTCTCTTGGAAACTAGAAAGAATATCACTGGACACAACAAGCTGGGCTGATATTGAACTCATCGATCGGTACAAATACTATTATCTGTGTGTGTTAATGCATGCACGCAAGGTTGTGTTATACAACATCATCCTACATACTATTATCTGTTTCGAATTGCAGAACAATATTGTATTTTTAACCCTCGCAATGTATTTCTTTTTCTTTTCTGTTTTGCCGCACTGTGTAATTATTTTGTATATGGGACATATATTATAAAAGGATTACAAGGTCATGTATCTGAGTACCTTTGTCTGGCACAAATACTATTTGGAGGTCGCATGGTTGAAAATGTATCACACTTAACATTTTAATCAAAAAAATGTAAAACTAAGCCACCTATGACTATAAGCCACCACAGCGATTCGGCATCCACGTGCGGGCATCGGATCGCTTAATTGAATACTTTATATCTTCTTTTGTCACCACCCTTCAGGCATTTGTTACCGCGTGACTCCTCGCTAGCCGGCCGGTCCATCATAGCAGGGCTGCTGCTCCTTGAACCGATAAGGTAAGATTTCTTTAGCAGCGTTGATGCACATGTTGTGTGTCAATTTGGTGGTCGGGAAAATTAAAATTTTACCTTAAGCAAAAATGATTGACGATATATTTCATGCCCTACAAGAAAGATTTCGATTTTGATCAGTCCATTGTTTCTCATGTTTAATATCATGAGCATACTACCGGTCTTTTAAGGATGTATTTTTCATTGCTAATTACTTCAGCATCCTTGAATGGTGATTTTCTTGCTAACATACTCCTGTTTAGATGCTAAGCATTATGGCAGCAAGATTCTTTTGATTGCCACTTACTTCAGTATCTTTAAAACAGCTAGCGATGACCACACAGGCACTAGAGGGGCTTCCCAGTTTATGCTTGAGAGTGCATTTAGCACTTAATGGTATTTTGGTGTAATGACACTATGGTTAGTAGGACGACTAATGACGGTTTGGTAAGATTTCTCTCAGGTTATTGGTTCCATGGATATAATTTGTGGAGATGATTGACCCCCACTAAACAACACCTCTCTCAAGTCCTCATGCACAAAATTAATATTTGACCTTGGACTAATCAAGATATATACGAACTCAACTACTACAAACAAGCCAGCATTCTGTTCGGATGTTCGTGGTGTGCAAACCTGTTGTGCTTGGTTGTGTGCGCCCTAATCTTAGAGAGGTACCGAAATGGTTACACAACAGGCCTAAACCCTACATGTTTCAGTTAACCCGAACTTAAAACTGATTTTGACTACACTAATTCGATTAGTCAATTCTACAAACCGAACTAAAAGGGGCGGGCTCGGGCTCCAGACGATGATGTGGGCGGGGGTGGGCTCGGGCTCGGGCTCATGCTCGTTTCCACAAAAGGGGCGGCCACGGGCATTGGCATGGCAACAGGGGCAGCCTCCGACGTAGTTTCAATGGGAACTGTGTTAGACTTAATCTTGATTCCATGTATCTACATTTTTAGTTTTGTTCAGCATGTAGTTAGTTGTTAGGGATCTGCAGGCAGATGGAGCTTCATTTGAGCGTGCAAGAGGTGATATGCCAGAGCGTCGTGTGATACGGCGAGTACGGCGAGATGCCGATGGCGACGAGATGCTGCCGGGCTGCGTGATGCGGCATAACCGTGTGAAGCGGATGGACGAGACCTGAAGCCGATGACAAGCAAAGAGTTGCGGCTGAGTGAAGGGCTGAGTTCTGCTAGTTAGCTAGCTAGTTTCGTTCGTGTAGTTAGTTTTAGATATGTCCTAGTCCTGTGGCTGTTGGAGTGATTCCTGGAATAGGATAAGGCCGGTTAGTGCATGCATAGATTAGTCGGGTTAGTTACTTCGTGCATGTAGTTGGGGTAATGGTCAAGTAGTGGCGTGAGTTTTGCATGGGAATTGGGACATGTCAGGAGTGTCAACCTCCTTTGTATATATTCCTTTGAGTAAAGAGAAACGAGGTCGTGAGGGCACAAGCAAAATGTAGCCACGGTGGGCATCAAGGAAGTTCTCTTGGCAAAGCCAGTTTGGTCTTCTTCCTTGGTGCAGTGTGTGTGTCTATTGGATGTGCTCCGGTAGTCGAACGAGCAACGTCGTGCGTTCGTTGCGCTCCAATTGGGAATCGACTACATAGAAGCCGAACGAGGGCCCTCGTAATCACAACGCCTGAACAATGATCTCCCTATTTAGTTTCAATTTTCGTTCTCCACACTGGAAGAAAAGGCCGATAAATTTAGAACAGACACCAATGACTGGCTCCTAAATAGGGAGATCAGTGATGACACAATATCACTGAGCAAGACACCTGTCGCAGCCCGTCTGTAATGACATATGGTCAGTTCAAGGTGGATGATACCTACCCTTATCTCTGACCAGTGTACACTTGACCGGCCAGTGTTAACTGCCTAGGTTAGCCTAGGTTAGCCCTCAGAGACTCATCACTGACACTCCTTTCCGAGCCCATCGGTGATGAAGCTCAGCACTGACTGGTGCCCATTGACGGGCCAGTGACGCGGGGTTTGTGCTATGTCGACCTGTAGAACTGGCTCCATCTAATCCAAAATAAGAAGGAAGAAAAGTGACGTGAGTATTAGCATGTCACCAAGATTGAAAAGTCATATTTAATACAAATTATGTTTAGGCTGTTGTACACCGCCTTAAATAACCATGAATGTATCAAGCTTAAATAGATTCACCACTTGTGTTTGGTTCTTGCTAATGATGAGTAAATGATAGAAAAGGGGTATGTTTCCGAGATGGCCATTTTGGCTCTGGGTGCATATGCTCTTGGATGAACAGTACTCCCTCCGTCCCAGTTCGCAAGGCAAAGTTTTCAAATATCTTGGCCCAAGGTGAATTTCCATTGGCTCTGATTTTCCATGTAAAAACGTTAACCATCGGCGTTGCAATTAATTTGGAAAGTGAAAAGAACTTTATTTTCTAGTCTTTAATTGATTTGGCGAGATATTTTCCTCTGCCCCGCTGTTTCCGCCTCGCGCGCTCCTTCCTCCTTGGGCGTGATATTTTCCCCTTAAATTTTGCTAGCGCGCCCAGATTTCTTTCCTAAACCAGAGATTTAATTCCGCGCGCAAGGATTTCGTTCCAAACTCAAACGAAAGCAACGCCCAGATTTCTTTATATAGCCATGGACTTACGTAGACGAACAGCCCAGTCTAGCGCCAATCTCATCTCCTCTCCTCCTCGATTTCATGGCGTCGGACAGGGGAGACGAGGGACATCGTCGTCCGCCGCCTCTTGGCCTCTGAGGCCTGACTCACGCTGCCTTCCTTCCTCGTTCCGGCGATGGCGGCGGCCTTCCTCCACTCGGTCTTGCAGGTCGAGGACCAATGCCGTCGTTCTCCATTGGAACGGCTGCCTCCACACCGGTGTCTAGCCCCAGCGTCGGAGGGAGACGCCGCGTTGGTCTGTCGCGCCCACCTCGATCTCCTTCTCCAAATCAGGTAGGCTCGTCGAACTGGGCCACCTCGCGCGGGCGGGAGCAGCAGTGCAAGCGCCGCCGGAAGGACGTCCTCCTACGTCGGCTTGAACATCATGAACGGCTCCATCTGCGTCGGACCAAATTCGTCCGTATTCTGCACGAAAGGTACATAGTCCTTCTTGCCTGATCAGGATATGTTGTCTCGTTCGACGATTGCATCAGGAAACTGCCTGCGAGTCGCTGCTGCAGGATGTTTGCCTCCGCTGATCTCCTTCCTTGTAGCTGTTTACTGTTTTGCTGTTGTTTTAGTTCTTTCTATGTTGTTTCGTTCTGAACTATCTTTCAGTTTGGGGAGTCAGGATCTGTGAGCCGTGTAATGTACGTACGTAGATCTTAGCTCTCCATCGATTGTGTGAAGTGAAGAATAAAAGGCCTTCGTCAGCCACAGCATGAGAGACGCTATGTTTCATTAGGAATAATTTGTTCTGTGACCGTATTTTTTTTCTTGTTTGGCCGTACATAAGATCAGCTATATGGATTCTGAATTGCTTGTTTTTGCTATGTAGACCGTACCAGTGAGTTTGCTGCATCTACTAACGGCAGAGAAGGCGGCTGGCGTGGCGCTGGATATAATCCAAATTTTGAGAACGCTGACGAGTATCCTCCACGGCCGAAACATGTAGAAGCACCTTCTGCAAAAGAGATTGATTTGAGTAGGTTTTTCATCTCTAACTCAACCATGATTTGTTTTCAGTTTTGTTTAGTAGCAGCATATTTGGTTTGTGCTTATGATTTTTTTTCATGTGTGTAGATGCTTTGGCTAACAAGAATAACAGAGAACAGTACACTGTCAAAGACAAGCGTAATATTTACGCTATGCTGCTTGCTCGAAATGGAGAGCGTGGAAGGTTAAAGAATGGGGTTTTGGATTCTGTTGTACGTGATGCAAATTGTTCTCGGAGGTGCGTGAGTAGGATTTGGAATGAAATGAAGACAGGAGGTGACGTTAACTCTATCAAGAACAATTTGAAGTTAAAACGGGAAGGAAGAAAATGAGTTTGGATATTGAGGCATTAGAAGCCATTCCACCTGGTGAGAGGACCACAATTCGACAAGTCACTGTTGGACTTAACATGTCCAAAAGCACAGTTCACCGTAGGTATGAAAAAAAGCATTAGTTCTTACATTTCGATGATGACCGAAATCATGATCAACTTTTCTTGTTTCTGTCTAGGTTGAAGGAGAAGGTAATGAGACGAGTTTCAAATGAACTGAAACCTTCATTAACTGAAGCCAACAAGAAGGCACGTGTGGCGTATTGCCTTGAGAATTTGGAGCCAAGTTCATTGGAGGACAATCCCACTTTTAAAGCTAGTTTTAACAAGGTTCATTTGGATGAGAAGATCTTCTACCGCACAAGGAAGACACAGAAAATGTACTTGAGTCATAGAGAGGAAGCACCAAAAAGAGAATGCAAACATAAAAACCACATCCAGCAGATCATGTTCTTGTCGGCTATGGCAAGGCCAAGGTATGATTCTCAAGGAAATTGTGTGTTTGATGGAAAAATAGGTGTGTGGGAA